TGACAGCCCCCTTTATGACTTATGGACTTCAACTCCCAGAATTCCTGAGCCAGCATAGCTCAGGAATTCTGGGAGTTGAAGTCCACAAGTCATAAAGGGGCCGTCATTCCCAGACTTTGGGGTAGAGGGTAGGAAAAACAACTCATCAGGCACAAAATACCATGTACTGCGTACGATGGCAATCTTATGACTGAGGCTTGCCACGATGGTCCTAAATGTGCATAAAGTTATTTTCCCAGCACCATCAAAACTTCAAACAAGTCGCCGGATGAATGGCCAGTAAGCTAGCGACTACCTGTCAACGCAGTTCATTTCCCCCAAATAATTTTCTGAACTAAGCCATCATTTCATCATTCCAGTATTTTCCAGTTATTTTCGGAAAAGCACAGAGGGCTAATAGACTGAAGTTAATTTATGGGCCTGGGTAGAAACAAAGCACTTAGTTCCACTAATCTCCCACAACGATCTAGGTCCTTTAGTTAATTTTTACAAGATTTTATCAAAGAATTCAAATCAATCCATTTCGTAATCCCTTCTAAATCGGTTTCCTTTTCACTTCTGAGAGGACTCAAAGTCCTGTTGACACAGAAAAGGTCAGGCTTTGTGCCCATCCCCACCAAAATCATTTGGCAAAGCATATATAAAAGAGAGGAGTCTTTGATCACCTAATTGTCATCATTTTTGCATTTTGGAATCCCCTGTGGAACATCCCTGCTGTGTGCCCAGCTTCCAAACTCAAGATGCGCATCTATAATCGCACACACACAAAGTGTTCTGACCAAGGCTTCTGAGACTGTAATTACACACACACTTATTTTAAAAACAAGTCTTGTTTTATTGCCACGCTGGGAATTATTTTCATTCCCAGCTGGTAATGAATCTCAAACAGTCCCTCAAGATAAGCACCCACCTTTCTCTCCTGAGAAGTGCTGCCAATAACAGAAGTGTCAAATGAACTAGGAAAAAAAAAAAAACAGCCGAAGTACAAAGAGCTTCAAGAATGAATCTGAACTAAACGAATGACTTTGCTTCCTGCAAAGGTTTCTTCACCTTTGCCTGTCCTTTATGTTTTATGGGAGGGGCAATCACCTCCCAACCTTATTTCCGAGTTGTTTCAGCTGTTCTCGCCTTCTAGCAGCTCTGCTCATACGCACACTGGGAACAGGCTCCCCTTGTTCCTCTGCCTTGCTGCTGCCAGGCTCCAGAATCAGCACCCCATTCCCAGATGGTCCTGGCCCCATCCCTGCATTGGACGCAGGACCCTCGTCCGAGTCCTCTCCAGACTCCCAGATTGGTCCCCGTTCTTCCCCACTGTCCGATTCCGCTGCCGTCTGCACCGTCTTGCCACCAAACCACAACACGAAGCTTCTAGGAGTTTAGTGTTCCATGATGGGATATGTAGTCCTTTCTTAGTCACCAGGTGCAGTTATGACAGTGACAGAAAAGTAACTTCATGAGCAATCTGTGACCTTCGTAGGTCCACAAACACAAGGAAGGAAGCTTCTTTACTTCTTAACGTTTCATTAAACAAATGAATTGCCGGTCCCAATTTGTGGTTACTAAATGAGTCATATAATACTGTATTGCACAAATGGTAAAAGTATGATGCATGAGAAGGAGGGGACAGTTGATGGAAAATGTCAACTATCTTCTCTAGGGACAGCTGCTCCTGTTGTAACGTAATTCTTCGTTTCTCCACCCACCTTGACTTTAAAAACAAAACAGTTCCATTGTGCAAAATTTCCCCTCCGTGGCAGATTTTCTTCAGTAAGACTATTATGCCAAAAGTTTCGAAAAAAAGTTTAAAAAGTTAAAAAAAAAAGCAATTGAATCCCATGTAAAATTCTGTGCATGAAGCATTTGCTATTAAAGAACTCTGGACAAAATGTATAAACTCCTTTCCTCCCCCCCCCCCTTTTAAAAAGAAGAAAATAATATAATGTTGGATGTTCGTCTCCCTAGGGCAATCCCCCCCATCATTTTATTAAACAGATGCAGTTTTCTTAGAATATATCTGGGTTTGCATTGCGTACCAAATGAAGCTAAACAGGATTGGGTAGTTTGTAGTTCAATACTGTACGCAAAAGCAGGTTTTAGCACGTCGTCGTGAGCCAGGATTTCAACTGAAATTTTGAATATGTTTTATTTCTTGGGACACAGCATTGTATGTAAATGCCCTTTTGTTAACTAAAGTTAGGATTTACTTATAGCCATTCATGAATCCTCATGCTTCCAACTGTTGCAGTATCTCCATCAGTGGTGGGATTCAATTTTTTTTACTACCGGTTCTGTGGGCATGGTTTGGTGAGCGTGGCAGGGGAAGGATACTGTAAAATCTCTAGTCAGAGGTGGCATTGGCCGGTTCTCCAAACTACTCAAAATTTCCGTTACCGGTTCTCCAGAACTGGTCAGAACTTGCTGAATACAACCTCTGGTCTCCATGCTGTAGTGTCAACTTTAATTAATTTAATTAATTTATGGCAATGGCAAAACTGTCAACGCATAAAACATTTCTATGCCTGTTTTAGTAGTTGCCATAAAAAAGGGGGAAGGGGAGGAAGGAAATCTGGAAGAGTAGTTGAAAGCGAAAGTACATTCCAACTCTTCTCTTTAAAAGATTGTAACTAAAATACCAGAGCTTTTGCCCGGGAAAACATTTAATTGGAGAATGTGAATGATGACACCCAGCCCGTGAACGTGCTCAATTGGAGAATCTGATTTATGACATACCCAGGGGGGAGGGGAGGAAACAGGGTCACAGGGGACTGTAAATTACATATGCCAGAATTGGCTTCATACAGGGCAGGGCCAGTATGTCGCCTCCAATGAATCCTTTGAAGGTTTTTGAAGTTTGGCTCGAGAATCATGACTTAATTAGGGGCGATTGCTGGAATCCTGACACGTAGTTGTTAATAGTGAATTCCTGCAGTTGGTTAAGTTAGTAACATGGCCTTTAAGTGAATCTGGATTCTTCGTTGACTTTGCTTAGCAGAAGGGTGCAAAAGGGAATCGCCCGTCTCCAAGACACTGTGTCCGTCATAAATATGAGTCAGTTTGCCAAGTGTCTGGATTTTAACCACATGACCAGGGGGATGCGGCAGCGGTCATAAGTGCGGAAAACGGTCACAAGTCACTTTTTTCAGTGCCATTGTCATTTCGAACGAACACGAAATGAACTGTTGTAAGTCAAGGAAATATTGCTAAGTAGTGAACAATATTTCCACAGTAGCATTTCAGCAGAAGCTCCAACCTTGCTTTTAAAACCAGGGCACCCTTGCATTCTTACCGAGTCTGTTTATCTCCATGTTTCATTTTAAATAATTCCATTATTTAGCATTATTAATCACACAATATTAGTGGTGGGACTCATCTCTGGGGGGGATGAGTCTGCCTACAGAGATGAGGTGGAACGGTTGCTTTCGTGGTGTGGAGACAATAACTTGGTCCTCAACCCCAATAAGACCAAGGAGCTTATAGTGGACTATAGAAGGAACAGATCAGACATCCAGCCCTTGCTTATCAATGGAGACCGAGTGGAGCAAGTGGCCATTTTTAAGTTTCTGGGTGTTACCATAAAAGGGGATCTGACCTGGGATGCCCACACTGCAACCCTGGTCAAAAGGGCCCAGCAGAGATTATACTACCTGAGGAAGTTTCTCCTTAATTCCAGGTTGCTTCTCTCCTTGATTAGTTTCCATCCATTGTTTCTTGTCCCGCCTTTAGGTGCTTTGGAAAATAAACTGACCCCCTCCTCTCTGTGGCAGCCCCTCAAATATTAGAAGACTGCTATCATGTCACCCCTAATTCTTCTTTTCTTTAGACAAGCCAAATCCGAATCCTGCAACTGTTCTTCATATGTTTTAGTCTCCAGGCTTTTAATCATCTTCGTTGCTCTTCTTTGCATTTTTTTTTCCAAAGTCTCAACATCTTTTTTGTAATGTGGTGACCGAAACTGGATGCAGTATGCCAGGTGTGTTTTAAAAAACAGTACTAATACTTCACGTGATTTTGATTCTATGCTTCTGTTGGTGCAACCTGGGATTGCATTAGCTTTTTCGGCTGCAGCTGCACACGGCTGGCTCATGTTTAAGTGATCGTCCTCTAAGATTCTAAGATCCCTCTCTCAGTTACTATTTTTGAGCCAGGTCTCGCCTAAAATATATTTGTGCCTTTGGTTCTTTTTCCTGCCTAATTGTAAAAAACCTTGCTTTTCTCCACATTAATCTCCAGCAGTAGATTATACTACCTGAGACTTCTCAGAAAACACCAACTGAATGGAAAACTGCTGGGGACCTTCTACCGCTGCACCATAGAGAGCATCTTAACTTACTGCACCTGTGTATGATTTGCCAATTGCACAGGGGCAGATAAGACTCCAGAGGGTTAACATCATTGCCCAGAGGGTCATTGGTTGCCCTCTTCCCTCTTTGGAAGAGCTTTATAAGAAAGTTCAAAACATTCTCAAAGATCCATCTCATCCTGGGCACACTTTTTTTTTTGAACTATTGGTACAGGACAATAAAAACAAGGACGAATAGGCTGAAAAACAGCTTCTATCCCAGGGCAGTAACTCTATTGAATTCTAGTGTATAGTACACTGAAGATGGTATTTAATTTCGTTGTACGATGTGCAATGACAAACTAAACTAAACTAAACTAATACGCTTTTGGAAAGGTATACAGTGGGATTATATGCTCGAAATGTGATAGAATGCATCTTTTTAGAACCATTTGGGAGAAAATATAGGGGGGGAGAGTGATGTATATACAGAAGAGTTGTTGTTTCACCACCAACTGGCATGGACAGAAGGTAGCAGAACATATACACGGGCAGGCAAATTTAAATATAGAAAGCAGCACACTCTGAGAATTGGAAGGCGAGCTGCAAAAAACATCAGATTGCCCTTGTTGTCACCATCTGGAAATGATTTCTCAGGAAGCCTTCCGTCGCACACCTCCTCGCTTGCAAACTCACCACCGGCTTCTCTTTTCCTTAACAGCTGCCAGAGTTATGCACATCCCTCGGCTACGTCTCGCAACATCATCACAACATGGTCGCCGTCGTGCGTTGTTTCCCAGATACCATAACTAGAGGACGGTGAGTCCCTTCTGCGTGGGAGACACGCTTTGGACCGATTGGGGACGGCCGGGGAGGAAGGGAGTGTGTGTGTGTGTGTGGGGGAAACAGGATGCACCCACCCATGCAAAGCGGAGCCCGGTGGAGCAGGGGGGAAAAAACACCTTAGTGTGCCCAACTCCTGATCACACCTGAGCCAGGTGTGACTGGTCAGGAAAAGAGGTCTGGAGGGCCTGGTTTGTGTTTTGATGGAGAGGCCAATTCCATGTTGGGAAGCATAGCAGAAAATAAACACGACGACTTTCCGGAAAATGGTAAACAGAAATAAGATTACAAGTTGAAGGCCCTTCAAATATAAAAGGTTACTGTGATGACCCAAAGGGGCGTGGCACAAAGGTAACACAGTCAGATAATCAGTAGGAGCCCCTTTATTAGCTCCAACTTTGCCCCCAATCTCCTGGTTACCTTCTGGGCTGGAGAAAAGCTCTCCCAGGAACAGCCTTTGGCTGCAGAAAATTGAGTCCAAAACATGAGCAACACAAACTGTAATTTAAACTCCAGACAAGCCAAACTGAAGTCATTAGTTTGGCAGGGCGGGAGCAAGAATTGCAGCCATGAAGGCACGGCAAAACTCACACAGTTGGGAAGATGCCAGGAATACAGATGAGCAAAGTCAACACAAGAGAAACTCACGTTTGCTCCCAGCAGCTGCTGCAGTCATCCATCTCTTTTAAAATCTCTTCCCAGCTGTGGCTAATGAAGGGAATCAGGGCTCTTTCCTCGCCCGTAAGCCATGCAACCCATGTTGCTCTCTTCTCCGTTCCTCCCTGCATGCCCTAGGATGCAGAGGGGATGGGCCTGGGTCTTCCCCTGAACTTCCTCTCCCTTGTTCTACTCTGCCCTGCTCTGCCCAGCCGGACTTTGCCCAGTTTCCTTCACAGCCAACGGAGCCACACTCCCACTCCCTGTCAGCTGTTCACCTTCCTCCTCGGATCCACACTCTGACAGGGGCATGACAGTTACAGCAGTTTGAGCTTTTTTAAGCTTAGAGAAAAAAGCTGGAAAGAGAGGCTATGCATTTAAGCAGTAAGGAATCACATAGATGCGTGGGAATTGATTTACCTTTTTGTACAAGTAGCCCTTGACTTACAGCCACAACAGAGCCCAAAATTTACATTCCTAAGCGAGACATTGGTTAAGGGAGGTTTGGCTCTATTTTGTGACCTTCCTTGCCACAGTTCTCAACTTCAAAAGCTGGGGGACAAAATGTGAAAAGCACTTTTACACTTAAGTCGGAGAGCAAATCTAAGCTCAAAGGCCCAGTTTAGTTTTCTGCTCCTTATCCTCTGTGTTGAGTCCTTGGTTGATCTCTTGCCCTGATTGACTTTAATGGGCTTCTTGTCCCTTTAAGAAGCCAGTTCTCCAGCAGAAAAGGAGATTTAGAGAGCTACCAAAACAACAACAACAACAACACCACAACCCAGCTTTTAAAAAGCCCAGAGGTTAGGTGGGTGAGTGAAAGTAGCAGAGGAAAATGGGAAGATGGAGGAGTTTAGAAGAAGGAACCTGAACACTTAAGAATTGCAGCATAAGAAAAAAGCAAGAGACAACTAATTTTATTTTATTTACGTCACACCAGCACTCACAACCCTTCTTCCTTCATCTTGTTCTGAGCCCCTCTTTCACTGCTTTGAAGTCCATCCTTCCAAGGTCCAGAAAAACCAGACAACTATCCCTGTTTTGTGAGAGATCCAAGCTAGAATTTAGGAGAAATTCCCTGACAGTTGAGTACAATTAACAGCGGAGTAGCTTCACTCCTGGAATCATGGGTGCTCCGTTGCTGGAGGTCTTCAGGCATAAACTGGATATCCGTTGGATACGAATGGTGTTAGGCCTCCTGCCTTAAGAAGCGAAGGGGGGTTGGATTAGAAGACCTTCCAGCCCTATGATTCTATGTTCCATGTTCTAAAAGCATTCATCACAAAGCCCCGAAGTCTGTGCACTTTATTCCTGCTCTCCCTGAAGACTTTTGTAGAGGCTTCAGTCCTGATTTGTCCTTGGTCAGTTCCTTGGGGTTGGCAGCAAGACCTGCATAGCATTGGTACTTTGCTAAGCCTTTAGATTGTTAGTTGATTTCCTTCCTTCCCTTTTCTTTTCTTTTCTTTTCTTTTCTTTTCTTTTCTTCATCCCCTTCCTTCCCTCCCTCTCCTTCCTTCCACCTCTCTCTCCCTTTCCTTCTTTCCTCCCTTTCCTCCCTTTCCTTCCTTCCTCCTTTTCCTTCCTTCCTTCCTTCCTTCCTTCCTTCCTT